AACTTGGGTGTGCGTTAGTAACAGACTCATTTTGTAAGAGAAGAGAGCAAAACCTTTATCCAGAAGGTCGTATGACCGTAGCCCTGTATAAGCACTCTCTGATAGCTCTGGTGAGTTACAAGGGTTATTTTTGAGAAGGAATGTGCATGGCTGGAGTAAAATGAAGTGCCATTAATGATGCCCCTTTTATGAGAACGTTACCCTGCAACAAGGTCACCCTGAGTTAACTGTGCTTACGTCTGAACTCTTCCTGTGATTTCAGATTCCAGCGGGGCGACTACCACATTGATGTCTGCATCAATGACTACCTGGATGTGTTCTGCCCTCACTATGAAGACTCAGTGCCGGAAGATAAGACCGAACGCTATGTGCTGTACATGGTGAACTTTGATGGCTACAGCTCCTGCGATCACACCTCCAAAGGGTTCAAGAGGTGGGAGTGTAATCGGCCGCATTCCCCGAATGGACCATTGAAGTTCTCGGAAAAGTTCCAGCTCTTCACGCCCTTCTCACTAGGATTTGAGTTCAGGCCAGGCCGGGAATATTTCTACATCTGTGAGTACATAGAGATTTACCACTGTTGCACAGCAGGCACAAGAAACCCAGCTAATTTTTCACCTATGCTCTGTGGAAATACAGAGGGCCAAGCGGTGTATAGTGCAGATGTCTCACAGTGAATGCAGGCTTAACTATCCCCAGACACATTAGCTAGGAATCTAGCTAGTGAAAATGATATTAAATCACAGCTTCTTTCCTCACATGAAGTAGCATGTCAGCCTGTTCACTGAACCATGGCTGACTTCTAAAGCAAAATGCACTATTAACGCTTATTCCAGCACTTGGAGGTAGAGGAGGAGGAAGAGGGGGCAAGAAGAGTAGGATGGAAGCTGTCCCCAAATATGAGGAAAAATAATTAATCCTGTGCATGTGAAATTCCTGGATTTTCTTATTTGCTCAGATGATATACTCCTGTCTCTGTAATATTTATCCCCCAAGAAGTGAGGTCTGTGTAGTTTGTAAGTAGTGTGGCTGCTGATGTCAGTACTCCAGCGGCATTTAAAGTTGTAATTTCTTAGCGTAAATACTCTCAATCATCAAGCCAAGTGGCTCCTTTTTTCTTCCTTCCTTTTTGTCCCCCATTTTTTCTTGGACGAGCTGTTTCTGTCGGCGTGGACAATGGGGGCTGCCGTGGGAGCAGGCAGCGCGCGGGGGAGCGTGGATGGGCTCACACACCTTCACGCCAGCTCCCCAAAGCAATGGGGAGCACCCTCCCAGAGCTCTGCACCCTCTTCCACGGAGGCCTGCATCAGGGCTGCTCTGGGCACCCCGAGGAGGAGCAGGATAACGTCTGGGACTGAGGAAGTAGAAACATCAGGAGGTTAAAAACCAATGGCTTAAGCAATCTGATGCCCTGACCCCGCTGTGCCGTTGATGCTGCTTCAGCTGTCTCGTTTGTTTAATCCTCCAACAAAGATCTTATTTCATCAATTTGTTTTGTACCTGAATCTTCTACTCCTGACAAGTTTTGACTGCTCCAGCAATGTTTTTTTTTTTTCTGTTTTTAGTGTTAGACTAGGGAGTTGAAAGCTTTAGACAGATTGTAGACCCCAATAAATATTGCCTTTATATGTGTAGCTGGCCTTTATACTGTGAAACAGTCATTCCACCTCATTTCACCAGAGAAACTGAGTATGTATGATCCCTGTTTTTCAGCCTCATTTCTTCAGCATTGAGATTTTTCTTTTCCTTTTCTAAGTCTAGTGGGAAATGCATTCCTAGTGGAATTCCTAGTTTTCCATTAATTTCTTTTTCTTCCAGCAAATAAAAACCCCTAGTGAGTGGTCGTTCAGCATCAGAAGAACAGCGCTTTGTTCTTGTGCACAATTATATTATTACTGCACATAATAATAATAATAATAAAAATAATTTTAAAAGGCAAACTGTAATGTTACTTAAAACTTGTTTTTTAATATGGACATGAGAAACCATGTAAAGATACCAGAATTAAGTGGATAATGTTCTAGGATAAATAAATCTGTACTGTGTAGGCCCAGTCCCACTCATGTCCCTTACAAAAGCTTCCCATTAACTTCAACAGGAGTGTTGGGTCATGCAAAACTCCAGTATCAGGCTCCCTGGGAACAAGGGATTTTTTAGTGGGGTTTGGTTTTGGTTTGTTTTGGGTTTTGTTTTTTTTTTAAATTCAATTCCTGAGCATCATAAGTAAAACAAGCAGGAAGACTTAAGCTAAGGAATGCAGTCTTTGCCGTTACATGTTCACAATAACATGTAGCACAGGGATGGCATCAGTAGATGCAAGCATTAAAAAAACCCACAAAACACAACAACAAAAAATTTGTTTTCTAAATTTTAGAAAAGAGAAAGAAATATTTAATAAAGGTGAAAGCCAAACATGAAAATGAAGGAAGAAAATATGAAAAATCTCAACTTGGTCTGTCTAGCTAATAGCTTCATTGTTAGAACATAGAAAATCTGTTGAACTCTCAAGCAATGCATTATTATTCAAACAGACCCAGGTTGCTTATGCCTGGTTTTCCTCATTTGTGGTTAAATTCAATATTTCACTAAAAATCATTATGTATCTTCTATAACAGTCATTTAACTGAGTCATTTAACTGTCAAGGGCTCCCTTCAAAATAATTATTCCAAAGTGCTGTAAAATATGCAGAGCTTTATGATATTCAACTGCATTCAGATGGATTTTTCTTTTAAACGAAAGGTAAAATAGCAAAAAATGAGCAGCAAAGAGATGTTCATTTACTAGTAGCTTATTGACCTGGTATTCACTGAAATTAAATTCTTAGGCGTTTTTCAGAGAGACAAAAGCCCTTTTCCTCTCTTTCTGTAATTTAAGGGGTTTTTTGCCTTTATCCTTCACCCTGCTGAGGACAGTAACAAGGTTGGCATTGCAGCAGTTGCAGGGAAGCACTCTAAGTTAACAATTAAATGCAAACCTTCTCAGGGGAGAGTTATCAATCCTGGAATGTTTTTCTCTTAGTTTGTGCTGAAGAAACAAGATGGTGAAATGTTGTTCTTTATTTCCTCATGAAAATTGTAAGCAGGCTCTTGTCCAGGCTACGGAGACCGCCTTTGTTATCTTTCTGTACCTGCATGTTAAAGAAATTACCACTTCGCCAAGGAAGGTTTCTTTTCCTCAGCAGATCTGAAACCTTTGTCCTCTGCAGGAGAGGGGGAAGACTGACTATGTAGCATTAGTCTGGTATATTCTATTTGGGGTTACAAAATGTGTCGTGTAGTCTAGACCTCTGGAAAGAGAAGTATTAAGTGACTGATTAGGTATTTATCTTAATTACTGTCTGGTGCTTTTTTGAAAAATCCGTGCAGTTTGCCTTTTAAATATGTGACTTGCCTTTCTTCCTTCTGTTATTTTCAGAAAATGCAATAATTTGAGACCAATCACCATCTCTTTTTCTGAACTGCTGGTTTTGTAAATGCCACTTTTTGTTGTTATGACATTGCCTTCATATATATTGCTCAGATGAACTTGAATCTTCTTTCTTTGCATGTTCATTTTAGAATAGTATAAGAAAAAAATCTATCTTTCTGATACCAAATTTACATTGAAGAAGTGAATTCAACATTGCAGACGTGCAATCAACAAGTACTGATTGAGTTGACTTTCGAAAGAAGAAAAAGTTATTAAATATTGACAGAGAAATTAACTTTTATTCAGTTAGGGAGTGCACAGTGGGGAGCTGAGGAAGGTAAATGATAGATCATGACCTAGAAGTCCCAGTTTTCACTTAGTTCTTAGCAGGTGCTCACCTCAGGTTAGTGTATGTTAGCCTGAAAACAGGAAAAATAATATTACTACTGAAACAGAAGCAAATGAAATGCTGAGAAAGCAAAAACTGAATACTGGTATGACAGTGATTTTAATGTCTTTCAGAAGAGAACATAGGTTTGGGTATGCAGGTTAAGGTGGGGTATTGTGCAAGGGGAGACGAACACAAAAACAAGGAGTGGGGAGATCCTATAATGTATAATGTTATACAATTATATAATTCCAAATGAGGGTATCATTTTCGTTACTTTAACTTAATTATGGGTGTTTTATTTTTATTAAAGGGCTAAGTATTGACTAAAATACCTGCAACAACTTGGCAAATACACATCGGAGCTCTTAAAGTGAAAAATGAAGACCTGACTAGAACCAGACTGGTACAGATTACTGCAGAATCCTGACCCCAGTTTCTGAACCAAGCTCCTGTGTCAATTTAAGCTAGACCACATTGCTCTTTTCTTGAGAGCGATGTGTCTTTGGCATAGTGTCAGAGTTGTACTAACATTAAGCTGTAGCATATGCTTTTCTCTGAGTGATCAATCCAGTTATTCCATCAAAGAATTTGGTATTTGATATGATTTGTCTTTAAGAATTCTATGATGTTTTTATCATCTTATCCTCCAAGATTTTATATGTATTGTTTATGTAGTCATTTGATCACTGTGAATATTGTAATTCAACCTATGCTTATACCCTTTTCCTAGAAAGACCAGGTGGGTTTGCTCTTCTTCACAGTTGTCTTGCTGCTCTCCTGTTGTCTGTAAGATCTTGAAGGTTTTTGCTAGCTGTTAGTAGGCTTTGCATGTGATGTATTTAAACATATCTTAAGTGGTTCTTTCTCCATTCTTGCTGAGAAAAGAGCTTCTTTCATCTTATAAATATCCTGTTGTCTTACCTGTGGTTTATTTGTGTAACCTTTTTTGTTACTGTTTCTTTCTAATTTCGCATGTCTTATGCATGTGTCATTCTGCTTTTATTTCAAAATGCTTATGCTGTTTCTTTTTATCACCTTTAATGATGTGTCATTATCACTGTATCTTTGTTGTCACGGTTTATTTGCATGAAGCTTCTGATTGTAAGTTCAGGAAGCTTTTGTTGTAACCGTATTTCTCCTGACCACACCACGATAGTATGCTTTTATTATTGGAATTTAATTATGGTTATAAATAGTATTTTTAATAGTTCTAAAATTTGTGATGAAATTAAGAAACTGAGTTTGTGAAGTTTTACGTACACTTCTTCTTAATAACAACCAGCTCTCCTGTACTCCTTTTCCTCATAGAATGTATTCTCAGGGAATCTGCTATTACCTATTCCCTTGATTTTCTTAGTGTTTGCTTTTGTTCCCCATCATCGTTGTTTCTCTGTTTTTTCCTGAAATTTCTGACTCTCATCTCCTGAGGGCTTTTATTCAAATGACATTCCACCCTGACGGTCTTAGCTGCTGCTTCTATAGGAAAACTTGTGATTTTCATAATTTCGAATACAAAATTGTCTCTCTTCTGTTAGTTTGTTCCATCTCTGTGAGTTGAAGTTGTCCTCACTGTGTTCCAAAAACTGTGGAACTGTTTGAATCCTGCTGTCATTTTTCTCTAACAGCTGCCAAGTAGTTGGACCAGCTTTCTGCAACCATCTGCACACCTCTGGAGGCTTCTCTGATTCAAAAGATCTTAAGGAAAAAAAATTAGAAAAAAGTGTTTATAGTACCTCCACTTCTTTTTGTCTTACT